ATGTGTGCCAAACAACCAATTCTTCCCTACTGGGCAGGATGAAATCAAAATACAATTCATAGGAATTCCCTAGCTGCCATTTTAGTCATTTAAGGATTTCATCAGAAAAAGCATCTAGAATGTAACAACTCGAAGGAGGCTTAATTTTTATACCTAGTACAAAGCTACAAAATTTAAGTGAATAATGACATAATCAAATAGTTCTTGATATTTCAAATGAACTTGTATTTTTATCTTTTTATTTGATCCTCAAAGAAACTCCCTAAGGAAGGGAAGATAAGATTATCTTCATTGTTAAGATGAGTACACTGAGGTTTAGAGCAATTTAGTGACTTAAGATCACAAAGTATTAAGTGACAGGACAGAATTTTAGACTAGAGGTCTGTTGCTTTTCCTTTTCCTTTATTAGCCAGTTAATAAATATTTTATTACCATTAGCCAGAGGTGGTCTCAATTTCAGATTCAGAGACAAATTGGCTTGGAAAATTCTGGGAAGTAGCAAAGAAAGCAGATTTGGAGCTATTTAAGGACAAGTGAAATTTTAAGTTGAAGGAAAAATGTGGAAGAATCAGTGAATGTTAAAAAATGCTGCTATGGTCTGAATGTTTATGTCCCCTCCAAATTTATATGCTGAGATCCTCACCCCAAAGAGATGGTATGAGGAGGTGGGCCTTTTGGGAGGAGATCAGGTCATGAAGGCAGAGCCCTTAGGAGTGGGATAAGTGCCCTTGTAAAATAGGTCAGGGGAGCTTATTTGCCTTTTACCTCATGAAGACACAGTGAGAAGGCAGCTTCTATGAACCAGAACTCAGGCCCTCATCAGACACCAAATCTGCTGGCATCTTGAACTTGATCTTGGACTTCCTGGTCTCCAGAATGGTAAAAACACATTTCTGTTGTTTATAAGCCACCCAGTGTATGGTATTTTGTTGTAGCAGCCTGAACTAAGATGCCCAATGTACTGGCTTGTTTCCTTCCCTTCTTTTCCCCTCCTCTTCTTTCCTCTCCAGTCCTCTCCCTCCTCTCTTCTCCTTTCCTCTTTTTGCCCCAGAAGAACCTTTTCTGAGTTCAATTTTAATGCCCTATGCTATGGGTATCTTGACAATAAAGGCGAGGTTTAAGTGAGGATGCTGACTGTGGTTACTTAGTTGCCCTGCAGGGTGCTTTGTATTTGGTAGGTGCTCAGAAAATGTACTGGTTTCAGAAATGATATTTTGGGAGTACTTCAGTAATATCTGTTTAGACTTTGAAGTTTTCCAAATATATACAGCTATACTGATTGTCTCGATGGGTTGTGACTTAGTATCCTCACAAAAAAATTGCTTTTTGTTTTTTTGAGTCAGAATCTCACTCTGTCACCCAGGCTGGAGTGCAGTGGCACACTCACGGCCACCCCAGCATTAACTCACTGGGCTCGGGTGATCCTTCTGCCTTAGCCTTCCAAGTAGACAGAACTACAGGGGCGCACTACCATGCCAGGCTAATTTTTTAAATATATTGTAGAGACGTGGTCTCACCAAGTTGTCCAGGCTGGCCTCGAACCCCTGGACTCCTGCCTCAGTCTCATAAAGTGCTGGGATTATAGGCTTGAGCCACTGTGCCTGGTCAAAAAATTGCTTTTTGAAATTATAGTATGTTACAGTTTTATTGAAAAGGAAGCAAAGTTGTGATTGCAACCATATCCTAAAGTCTGAAGATTTCCTAGAGAGTATTTACTGTTATTCTTTTTCTCTCACTCTCTCTTTGTTTTTGTTTTTTTGAGTCAGGGTCTCACTCTGTCATCCAGGCTGGACTGCAGTGGCACAATCACAGCTCACCTCAACCTCGACCTCCTGGGCTCAGGTGATTCTTCTACCGTGTCATCACACCTGGCTAACTTTTTGATAATTTGTAGAGATGAGTTCTTGCTATGTTGTCCTGGCTGGTGTTGAACTCCTGAGTTCAAGCAATCCTGCCTTGGCCTCCCAAAGAGCTGGGATTACAGGCATGAGTCACTATTATTCTCTTTCATTTCACAAAAGAGTTCAGTCTTTTTCTGAATACTAACAGACTATTTGAAAGATTTCTTATCTAGTGCTCCATACCTACACGTACTTGAACAGATGGGTAATAGTTGTAATAGTTATAAGGGAATTTATATGAATGCATATCAAAGAACATAGGAAACGTCAGGAAGTCAACCTCCTACATCTTCTTGTTTTCTCTAAAAGCAAACACTTTACTTACATAGTACCAGTACATAGTTACTTAGAAAGACTAAAAAAACTATAGGGGCAAGCCTGATTATGTAAGGGCACTGTTGTGGGGAGAGCTAAATTGTGGATCATAAACAGTGTGTTAGAACTTGGGTAAAAGGACAAGAGTCTCTGGTTTATCATTCCTTGGAAACTACAAAAGGTGACTGAGCCACCAGCACTATGGGAGACTGAGGTGGGAAGATTGCTTATGCCCAGGAGTTCAAGACCAGCCTGAGCAACATAGTGAGACCTGGTCTCTACCAAAAAAAAAAGGTGGTATGTGCCTGTAGTCCCAGCTACTTGGGAGGCTGAGGTGGAAGGATTGTCTGAGCTCAGAAGGTTGAGGTAAGCAGCCAGGGCTACAGAGTGAGACCCCAACTCAAAAAAAAAAAAAAAAAAAGAAAGAAAGAAAGAAAGAAAGAAAGAAAGAAAGAAAAGAAAAGAAAAGAAAAAAGAAACTACAAAAAGCAAAAACAAAAACATGTGCCTTCCTTTATTAAGCTATTTCTCAGTATCTGTCTGATGGGAAGAATGTAGAATACCTCGGTTTATCAGACACTAGAGAAGTCCTCTGGGCTTTGGGTTGGGGCAGGGAGTAAAGCATATTTGAGGACCTGTTCAGCTCCCAGGGACGATGTCCTTCCCAAAGTCCTGTACTCTTTTCAGCAGGTATTTCCTGGCAGGTAGACTCATCACCCAGTGAGGGTAGGGAGGAGGGTG